ACATACATCTAGGTTTTTCTCCTTTTTCTAAATAGCTCTTGTTCTTTTTTATTTCTTCTATTGTCCATGGGGAAGTGGAAAAGAATCTTTCCTCCGTAAGCCATGCGTGTCGTATGAGGCGACTAAAATGCGGGGGGCAATGGGCTAGTAACCCCTTCTCCTGTATACAATTACTAAAAAAGAGAAGAAGAAAAATTTTTATAAAATGGGTTGCTTAAATGTGCGTGGATGTAGTGCGGATGACAAGAAACAGATGATTGCTGATGTTATGAATGAAAAGAAGTTGGATGTCCTGGCCCTAAGCGAAACAAAGCTGAAGGGGGTAGGAAAATTTTTCAGTGGGGGGAAATAAATGGGATTAAATCTGGAGTATCTGAGAGAGTTAGAGCAAAGGAAGGGGTAGCAGTAATGTTAAATGATCAGTTATGGAAGGAGAAAAGAGAATATGAATGTGTAAATTCAGAATTATGTGGATTAAAGTAAAGGTTGGATGCGAGAAGTGGGTCATAATAAGCGTGTATGCACCTGAGAAGAGAGGAATGCAGAGGAGAGAGAGAGATTTTGGGAGATGTTAGTGAATGTATAGGAGCCTTTGAACCAAGTGAGAGGGTAATTGTGGTAGGGGACTTGAATGCTAAAGTAGGAGAAACTTTTAGAGAGGGTGTGGTAGGTAAGTTTGGGTGCCAGGTGTAAATGATAATGGGAGCCCTTTGATTGAACTTTGTATAGAAAGGGGTTTAGTTATAGGTAATACATATTTTAAGAAAAAGAGGATAAATAAGTATACAAGATATGATGTTTGGGCGAAATGACAGTAGTTTTGTTGGATTATGTATTGGTAGATAAAAGACTGTTGAGTAGACTTCAGGATGTACATGTTTATAGAGGGGCCACAGATATATCAGATCACTTTCTAGTTGTAGCTACACTGAGAGTTAAAAGGTAGTGGGATACAAGGAGAATAGAAGCATCAGGGAAGAGAGAGGTGAAGGTTTTAAACTAAAAGAGGAGGCAGTTAGGGTAAGATATAAACAGCTATTGGAGGATAGATGGGCTAAATGAGAGCATAGGCAATGGGGTCGAAGAGGTATGGGGTAGGTTTAAAAAATGTAGTGTTAGAGTGTTCAGCAGAAGTTTGTGGTTACAGGAAAGTGGGTGCAGGAGGGAAAGAGGAGCGATTGGTGGAATGATGATGTAAAGAGAGTAGTAAGGGAAAAAAAAAAGTTAGCATATGAGAAGTTTTTACAAAGTAGAAGTGATGCAAGGAGGGGAAGAGTATATGGAGAAAAAGAGAGAGAAGTTAAGAGAGTGGTGAAGCAATGTAAAAAGAGAGCAAATGAGAGAGTGGGTGAGATGTTATCAACAAATTTTGATGTTGAAAAATTAAGAAAAAGTTTTGGAGTGAGATTAACAAGTTAAGAAAGCCTAGAGAAACAAATGGATTTGTCAGTTTAAAAATAGGAGGAGAGGAGAGTTATTAAATGGAGGAGTTAGAGTATTGGGAAGATGGAGGGAATTTTTGAGGAATTGTTAAATGTTGATGAAGATAGGGAAGCTGTGATTTCGTGTATAGGGCAAGGAGAATAACATCTTGTAGGAGTGAGGAAGAGCCTCGTTGTGAGTGTGGGGAAGTTCGTGAGCAGTAGGTAAAATGAAAGGGGTAAGGCAGCCGGGATGATGGGATAAAGATAGAAATGTTAAAAGGGTGGGGTATTTGTTTTGGAGTGGTTGGTGCAATTATTATAATAATGTATGGAAGAGGGTAAGGTACCTAGGGATTGGCAGAGAGCATGCATAGTTACCTTTGTATAAGGCAAAGGGATAAAAGAGAGTGCAAAAATTATAGGGGGATAAGTCTGTTGAGTGTACCTGGTAAAGTGTTAGGTAGAGTTATAATTGAAAGAATTAAGAGTAAGACGGAGAATAGGATAGCAGATGAACAAGGAGGCTTTAGGAAAGGTAGGGGGTGGTGTGGACCAGGTGTTTACAGTGAAACATATAAGTGAACAGTATTTAGATAAGGCTAAAGAGGTCTTTGTGGCATTTAGGATTTGGAAAAAGGCGTATGACAGGGTGGATAGGGGGGCAATGTGGCAGATGTTGCAAGTTTTATGGTGTTAGGAGGTAGGTTACTGAAAGCAGTGAAGAGTTTTTACGAGGATAGTGAGGCTCAAAGTTAGAGTATGTAGGAAAGAGGGAAATTTTTTCCCAGTAAAAGTAGGCCTTAGACAAGGATGTGTGATGTCACCGTGGTTGTTTAATATATTTATAGATGGGGTTGTAAGAGAAGTAAATGCGAGGGTTTTGGCAAGAGGCGTGGAGTTAAAAGATAAAGAATCACACACAAAGTGGGAGTTGTCACAGCTGCTCTTTGCTGATGACACTGTGCTCTTGGGAGATTCTGAAGAGAAGTTGCAGAGATTGGTGGATGAATTTGGTAGGGGTGTGCAAAAGAAGAAAATTAAAGGTGAATACGGGGAAAGAGTAAGGTTATGAGGATAACAAAAAGATTAGGTGATGAAGATTGAATATCGATTGGAGGGAGAGAGTATGGAGGAGGTGAAACGTATTCAGATATTTGGGAGTGGACGTGTCAGCGGATGGGTCTATGAAAGATGAGGTGAATCATAGAATTGATGAGGGAAAAAGAGTGAGTGGTGCACTTAGGAGTCTGTGGAGACAAAGAACTTTGTCCTTGGGGGCCCAAAGAGGGGAATGTATGAGAGTATAGTTTTACCAACGCTCTTATATGGGTGTGAAGCGTGGGTGTATGAATGTTGCAGCGAGGAGAAGGCTGGAGGCAGTGGAGATGTCGTGTCTGAGGGCAATGTGTGGTGTGAATATAATGCAGAGAATTCGTAGTTTGGAAGTTAGGAGGAGGTGCGGGATTACCAAAACTGTTGTCCAGAGGGCTGAGGAAGGGTTGTTGAGGTGGTTCGGACATGTAGAGAGAATGGAGCGAAACAGAATGACTTCAAGAGGTATCAGTCTGTAGTGGAAGGAAGGCGGGGTAGGGGTCGGCCTAGGAAGGGTTGGAGGGAGGGGGGGTTAAAGGAGGTTTTGTGTGCGAGGGGCTTCGACTTCCAGCAGGCATGCGTGAGCGTGTTTGATAGGAGTTTAATGGAGACAAATGGTTTTTAATACTTGACGTGCTTTTGGAGTGTGAGCAAAGTAACATTTATGAAGGGATTCAGGGAAACCGGCAGGCCGGACTTGAGTCCTGGAGATGGGAAGTACAGTGCCTGCACTCTGAAGGAGGGGTGTTAATGTTGCAGTTTAAAAACTGTAGTGTAAAGCACCCTTCTGGCAAGACAGTGATGGAGTGAATGATGGTGAAAGTTTTTCTTTTTCGGGCCACCCTGCCTTGGTGGGAATCGGCCAGTGTGATAATAAAAAAAAAAAAAAAAAAAAAAAAATGTACTGTCAAACCCCAAAATCATAGGAGTTAGGCTTCTAGAGGGCCCTTGAATTTAAAACCCCCAAAGAGTGTACTGTATCATTAAATTTTATCCATACAATAAACTTTATTTCAGATCTAGTTTCATCCTTTTCCTCATCCTAATATCTGATACAGAGATGTAAGCCACCGCACTGTGTCCTCCATTGCTGACGATACCAGAATTTGCATGACGGTGTCATCCATTGAGGATACTGCAAATCTTGAAGCAGACATTAACCAAGTCTCCAATGGGTCTCAGAAAATAATATGAAGTTTAATGAAGACAAATTTCAATTACTCCACTAAGCAGGGACCCCATGAATATTCAAAGAGAAAACACAAAAAGTATCAGGGGCCCAAGACTATTCAACTGCCTCCCAGCATACATAAGGGGGATTACCAATAGATCCTTGGCTGTCTTCAAGAAGGAGCTGGACATGCACCTAAAGTCAGTTCCTGACCAACTGGGCTATGATTCATACATCAGTTTGCATGTGGCCAGCAATAACAGCCTGGTTGATCAGGACCTGATCTACCACAAAGCCTGGTCATGGACTGGGCTGCAAGGGTGTTAACCCCCAAAACTTCTTCTAGGTATACTCCAGGTATATTATGTTTCAAAGGCTGCATCTCTTGAAATATTTTTTCCATCTCATTACATTTGACATTAAAAGAAATAATATCCAGTGAAAAGAGATTTGGGGGTGGGAAATTCAATGAGCACATTTACCATGAAATCCTAAGGGTAGTTTTCAATTCAGTGATCAAGTGCCAAGCAAAAACAAAATGAGTAATGCAAAGAAAATACAAATAATCAATGGTATTTATTGGAGACCATTCAGTAATAAACATTGGATAATTGAAGCATGTGAATTTTGGAAGGCAACAAATTTGGATTTGGATTGGACTATAGTATAGTATTGCAGATGGATTACTGTACAGCATAGTGTACTTGAAAACTTTTTGAGGTGTTTTACTGTGGAGCTTATTAATAGAAATGTGGTTACTAATAACAGCAAATCACCTTAAGCCAATAATAACTCAACAAAATGTTGCAGTACGAATGACTACACAGCCCACCAATAGACAACACCCCCCTCCCCCCACTCTTCAAAGACCTAAATCTACTTACTATACAAAACATTCACTCTTACTACTGTCCATCCTACATTTACAGAACAATAAATTCTAATATTAATCCTAACCTGAAATACTTTCTTGATAGTTGCAACAGGACCCATAGACATAATACTAGGCACAAAAATCTCTCTGACATATCCCGTATCCGGCTTAATCCTTGTTATAAATTTAATTACATACAAGGGCCTAAAATCTGGAAATTTCTGCTGGAAATCTCTATAGCCACTCTCTTAGCCAGTGTCTTCAAAACTACCATTAAATAATACCTTTTCTCCCTGACATATCCCAACATCAGCTAAATATGTGAAAACTATAGATAACGGCTCTTAGCCTGTAAAATTTATTTGTGCAGAATAAAGTGTGTAAAAATATTATACACGAATACAGTATCATGCCAACACATCACATGGCTTTTACTCACCTGATTGCCTTTCTCACTGAGCAAAGACCTTCTTCTTGCAAGTCACGGTCAATTTTACCCAAAATGTTCTTTTGCCGTTTCTCATTTTCCAGTTTTTTCTTCCTCTTGAGTGTTTCACAATCAGCACGGTAATCTTCAAATTCAATGGCAGCTTCATCTGCAAGTCTCATGAAGGCATCCATTCCCTGTAGGATCAAATTACAAAAAAATGTACATAACAGGTAATGTCCGTCTCTTTCTAGATTTAACAAATGTGTTCCTAAAACATTAAAAACAAGAAAATATGTACATGAATTACTGTCCCAAGAGTCATGCATAGTTTCATATAGTACAGTAAAGTTGCTCATAATGAGTGAGATGTGTTCCAGAAAATCTGTGTTGCAAAAAGTGAAGAACATTATTGAAAAATAGGGTTAAGTTCCAGACACCAACTTTGCTAATAAATTTTTTTACTATTGTACTACATAAGAATCTCTACAGTATAACTTACTTCATACTGTATTGTGTTTAGTCATTACCCGAAGCTTTTTAAGTGTGAGGAGGGTTAGCATGAGCTTGTTAGACTAAGGTTACATAGCCAAGGTTGATCAACTGATCCTCAGTATGTAAGTCAAGACACATGTGCAACATCTGGATATCTTTATTACAGACGTTTCGCCATCCATTGGCTTTATCAATACAGATTCTAGGACATTAGAAGACAGTAGAACTATATAGAAGAGATGAGGTAATCAGTCCCTCAGCCTTGGAGTTAATGTTCACAACATCATGGTGGTGGAGAATCTGAGGCAAAGGCAAGGAGACTGGCGTTTATATAGGTGTCAGTGGATAGGGACGTGTAGCAGACGAGAGCATAGTCACTGGTAGGCGGGATTCCCCAGTGGAAGTAGGCCCTACCCAAAGGGATGGGTTAGTTGTAGTAGCCGTGAAGAAGGTCTTGTAGATGTCCTCTGAACCAACATTCCATGATGTTGCAGTGTCTGACAAGTTGTGCAAAAAAGATATAAAATACCGGCAACATGAAAGGTTAGTTGTAGTAGCCGTGAAGAAGGTCTTGTAGATGTCCTCTGAACCAAGATTTCATGATGTTGCTGTGTCTGACATGCGAATAAACTGAACATAATCACTAATTTGTATTAGACAAATAGGCACTTACCACACCTATACCAAAAGCACACATACCAAAGATGAACACATTTGATAAAACCAAAGCAAAGAAAAATATTACTGCTCCATCTGTTATGGTTTTTTTTTTTTTAGGTTTTTGGATGTGAATCTGGCAAATATATATTCACTGTATTCATCCCTGGTGCAAGTAGATTTAATACATTTTAGCTCACTAGAGTAGTAGATAGCAGTACAGGTGTATTATCTATACTATAACAACAATTATTTCTTGGGAAAAATTTAGTTTTTGGAGATATTAGCAAAAATAATACTGTACATTAATTTTGGCATGAGTGGCACATCACAGCCAATCAGTGGTTTGTAATGAACAATGTAAAACCTGGCCAATCACAGCAGCAAAAACAAAGATGCATCGAGAGCAAAAGCACATCATTCCCTTATAAGGATATGTTAGGTTGGGTTTCTTTAGGTTAGGTTTGGTTTCTTACTATTTCTGCAAAATAAAACTATGTCCATGGCATAACTCAGCTAAAGTTAGTCATTTTAAGGACTAAATTATTGATCAACTCTGAGCAGGACCTGAATTTAATGATGACCCTTGTAGTGTAAATATTATGCAGAGAATTCATAGTGTGGAAATTAGGTGTGGAGTTACTAAAAGTATTAGTCAGAGGGCTGAAGAGGGGCTGTTGAGGTGGTTTGGTCATTTAGAGAGAAAGGAACAAAGTAGAGTGATTTGGAGAGCGCATAAATCTGTAGGGAAAGGAAGGCGGGGTAGGGATTGTCCCTGGAAAGGTTGGAGGGAGGAAGTAAAGGAGGTTTTGTGGGCGAGGGGCTTGGACTTCCAGCAAGCGTGCGTGAGCGTGTTAGATAGGGGTGAATGGAGACAAATGGTTTTTGGGACCTGATGAGCTGTTCGAGTGCAAGGAGGGTAATATTTTGTGAAGGAATTCAGTGAAATCAGTTAGCTGGACTTCAGTCCTGGAAATTGGAAGTACAGTGCCTGCAGTTTAAAGGAGGGGTTTGGGATATTGGCAGTTTGGAGGGACGTCTATGCTGTCGTATCCGAGAGCCTCCACAAAGATAGTGATTATGTATGAGTGATGGCGAAAATGATGAATGATATATATGTATACAGTGGACCCCCGGTTTACGATATTATTTCATTCCAGAAGTATGTTCAGGTGCCAGTACTGACCGAATTTGTTCCCATAAGGAATATTGTGAATTAGATTAGTCCATTTCAGACCCCCAAACATACACATACAAACGCACTTACATAAATACACTTACATAATTGGTCGCATTGGGAGCTGATCGTAAACTGGGGGTCCACTGTATATATATAATATATATTATTTTATATATTTATATATATATATATATATATTATATATATACATGTGTGTACATACATACATACATACACACAGTATATTTTGAAATAATACACTTACTTCTCCAGTAAAGGCTGAAACACCACAGGCTTTAATAGTACTGTAAAACTCCTCTAGTGCTAACGACAACGACCTGGTCAAATTAGCTGCATATGTTGATTCTGATGAAAGAGCATCATAGAACTCATCATAATCTTGTAACCAATTCTCAGCATACTTGCAGTCAACGATGTCAATCTTGTTCATTGCAATTATGAAGGGAAGTTTATATTTATAAAGTATTGAGCAAGCATAAAGCATATTAGACATAAAAGTTTGTGGATTTGTAGAGCGAACAGTATCTAGCACATAAATGATGATAGTCGGGTATGTGGCTGCTAGTGCCTCAGCAATAATTGACCCAGAAGCGGACCAGTTAAATACTTCTATCTGACCAGGTGTGTCAAATATGATATAGTCTACTTCTTTTTCTCTCTTTGCAATGAGTTTTAAAACATCATCAAACATTGTTGAGAAAAGGTTGAGAGAGGTGACAATTCCACCGTTAGGGCCAAGACCATACTGCTTCATAACCTCCTTATAGTTCACAGTATCTCGTATATCAATATACGACATATATGGGACACTATCCACTGCTGGGTCCAAGTTGATAACATAATGTGGCTTTCTAATATTCAAATGAGAGTCGAGCCTCTTCACAAACGAGGTCTTGCCGGAGCCTGCCATGCCGAGGACAATTATACAAAGAGGTTCTTTTTGTTTTGTTTCACATGAAGATCCAGACATTTCCCTTCCATGTGAGGCTGCAGATGCCTGGGTACCATCACTAATACCTGAAGCTACACTCAATGTTGCTCCTTCATCACGATTCTCTACCCTCACTGCACTGGCTCCACTCTCTCCAGGACTTTCACAGCTCGGTATTATATTCATCACTGCAGTTTTATTCGTATCCATACCACCTGTTAAGTATAAGAACTTTAACTTTCGTTAATCTGCGTCAATTCCAACTTTTCTAGATGCTTTTGTTGGCGTTAAGGTCCAACAGGATGTGAGCCGTGAAACCAGTCTGGGGCCCTATAATATACAACAATAATAACAACAACAAAAACAACAACAATAATAATAAATAATAATAATAATAATAATAATAATAAAAATAATAATAATAATAATAATAATAATACTAATAATAATAATAATAATAAAAAATAATAAAAATTTTATTTTTGACATGATAATGGTTTTACAAAGGAATAAAATTTATTGGCTGTACTCCCAAAAACCCCCTTTTTGTACGCAGAGCACTTGGGCAAACTTAAATTAACTTAAGTTTAAAAAGGGCCATAACAGTTCATATGATCATTAGATAGTTAAAATGATACAAGAAAAACTGAGTATTTATGGTAATTTTTAAAAATGGCTTTAATGGCTAGTAGAAATTTCCCAGTATAGAAAAAGTACAGTTTTGATGAGTTTTAAAAAGACAGTATTTCAATTTAGAACAAGTTAAAACGTTTACAATATGAATTTTTACAATTTAGTCTTTTTAAAACAAAAAGAAGCATAAATTGAAGTTTGAGTAAAAAAGTTGAGCATCATCAGCAAAATACAAATAATGAAGTTGAACATTTAAGTTCGAGGTAAATTATCAAATAGCTGAGCTGTCTTAAAAATTTTTTTTTTTTTTTTTTTGAGTACTTTTTGAGTAACTGGTAGGGGATTAAGTAAAGTGTTTTGTTAATTTTTGGGTGATAAAGTATTTTCTAAGTTGGGCCTTAAATTTATTGCAGGGAAGGGTCCTTTTTGTGGTTCTGCATAGATTTTTCAGAGAGAGAGATGGCACTTGGGAAAATGAGAGGTTTGTGTCTTGTATTTTGGCTGTGTGTTCGTTATATTATCAAAGGGGAAGTTTGGAGGAGAGTTTATTTTGAGTGTAGTTCCCGTGTAGTGTAGGCACAAAATAGGTGCGGTGTTTTTAATATTAAGCAAGTTAAGACTTTAAAAACGGTGGGGTAGCGTCGTGCAGGGGTTATTAAAACAATCGCACTGAGCCTTTTGTTGGGTTATTAAAGGGTTTAATGTGATTTTTCTGTGGCTGAGCCAATGCCAAATACCCTCGGTAGATAAGGGAAAATGAGACAGTGGTAGAGCAAGAAGAGCCGTTTGGGGTATGCAGTACCGTATTTTTGATAGGCTGCCTACTGTTTTGGAGACTTTCCTGGATATTTGCTGTATGTAGGTTTGGAATTTGAGTCTGCAGTCAAGGTGGAGACCTAGAAATTTGCCTTCTGTGTGTCTTGAAATGGGTGAACCATTTATCACTATGTTTAGCTGTACATTTGAAGTTCTGTTTCCAAATAGCATGAAGTAGGTTTTGTTTATGTTGAGAGTAAGTTTCTTGGTAGTCATCCAAGTAGATATTTTTAGTAGTTCGTCATTTACAGTGTATGTTAATATAGTTGGGTTTGGGTGAGAGAAGATATAAGTAGTGTCATCTGCAAATAAAATGGGTTTAAGGAGCTCTGATGCATTTGGGAGGTCATTGATGTAAATAAAAAAGAGAAGTGGGCCAAGGACTCTACCCTGTGGTACTCCAACAAGAACAGGTTGTGTAGTAGAGTAATTAAGTACAGTTACATAGATTATCATACATAGCAGCATGTGTGTAGAGAACCTAGGATAACCCCAAAAAGTCAGACAAAGTGACTTATTTCCATTGGGGTCCTTGGTGACACTAATGTTTTGATAGTTAAGTTAATAACAATAAGTAAGTAAATTTATTCAGGTATACACAAATACAGTTACATAGAATTATCATACATAGCAGCATATGTAAAAAACCTGGGATAACCCCAAAAATCGACAGAGTGACTTTTTCCAGGGGGGTCCTTTTACCTTTTTAAATAAAATTTTAAAAAGGGTTTAATATTTTCTTTTTATTCTCCCAATGAAAAAACCATCTTATTATCATACTAAAAAGACATCCTAAACACGAGGGTCATTAAGACTATCTAAAATTACAGGGTCATTACTAGGAATAAGGTTAAATTTTACATTTATTTTAGCAAAAAAATAAAAAAAAAATTCTTTCCCCCTCCCTTTCGTACCTTCATTCATCAGACATTTTTTTTGGCAGCCCTTCTTGAACGGTTCATGCTATGACTGGCTTTGACATGTGGGGGGTAGCCCTGTTCCTTTCCTTTTAAATTGCTGTACAATAAGGTGTTTTAAACGCCTGGCCACTGACGTGGTACTACAAAGTTTGCTCTCCCCCCTAGAAACAGGTTTGTTTTGGGTTCCCAACCTTGACAAAATTGACAGCAAGATTTTTCTGGACACTGTTCGTGAGAAATTTTAAAAACATGTTTTTAGTTTCATTTTTACTCTGTCTTAAACATTCAGCATTTTCCAAAACTGCTGTAATTCTCCTGGCCTACTTTTTACTTGTCCCACCCCAGATAATTTCTTACGATTTTTTTTTTCGGGGTGTTTGGGCAGTCTATTTTTATTTTTTTTTTGTCAAGGCAGAGTCCCCATGAAGAGCAAGCATAACCCCAATATCCATTGTTGGGCCTAACTGGGGTTCCTGCGACCTCATAGGTAACCCTGTCTTGTCTATACGGGAAACTTCATCTGACTTTTCGTTTTCTTTACTAACATCCCCCCTATCAATTCTCCTAACTTTCCAGGGGTCAAAGGGTTTCCCCAAATTTATTTTACTGAGGAAACCAAAGGGATGGACTCCCCATCAAAACTAACATTAAAATTTTTACCCCTTCCCTTTTATTTTTTCGTTCCAAAGAAAATGGTTTCATTTTTTCCCAGGTTAATGATATTTTTGTTGTCTACTAACCATTTGCTGCGGGACCCTTTCCCGGGGGTTTTAAAAACCATTACCCAATATCTTGTGGGCCTTTCCCTGTCACTAACAGGCCTGTAAACTGCATACAGTGGGATTTTTGCATTTTGACCCGAATGCAAATCATTGACAAACAAAGAATAAAAGGGCCCCCAAAAATCCCTTGGGGGGAACCCCAACTAAATTTATGGGCGGGGTTTTTCCTGATTCCGTTTTTTTGATTTTGACTATTTGTCTCCGGGTTGCTAAGTGGTTTAAAACCCCAGTCAAAACAAAACCATCCCGATAGTTTAAGTTTTTTTAAAAAATTTAAATTTGGGTTGACATTTCGAAGGCCTTTTGCGGGTCAAAGGGTTTAAACCAAACCTATGGGGCCCCTTTTTTACATTTCAGTTCTCGGGTAATCCATCAGTTTAATAAGGGAGGTATCTTTGAGTAGACTTCTAAACCAAAAATTTTTCTTAAAATGGGAGAATGCGGGTTGTCTTTAGGGTATTTAAACTACTTGAATACACCGCCCTCTCCAAAATTTTTTAAAATTTTATACGAGAAAACTAACATTTCTATATTTTGCTTACATCAGACCTTTTAATTTTTTTTTGAAGATGGGATAACTCTGGCCTCATTGAACCCCTCCGTACGGTATTAGGGGTGATTGTTTAGATTTTTTAAATTGAGAAATGGGGATTGACAGTTCAAAGCCCATCTTTTGGGAACTTAGAGGGGATGTTATCGGGGCCTTTTCCTTATTTGGGGTTTTTAAAACCCTGCTTGGGGTTTTTTTTTTGGGAAAGAAGTCAAAAGATAAAATTACTAGTTGACAACTTTTTTTGGGGGTTCCCCCTTTTATTGGAAATATTTTTTTGAATTTAATCAGAGTCTGTTTTAAAAAAGGTTTTGATGCAGCGGGTAGTTTATTTTCCCAATTTTTATGCAACGATGTGTAGAAAGGAAAATTAAAGCAATTTGCCCCCCTTAAAGTTTCGGGGATACCTCATTATCGATAGTGAGTACTATGTTTGACCTATCTTAAATGGTTATGGCTGTAAATGATACTGGGCCTGTGGGGAGCAGCAGCAAATAATACTGCACCACCCTAGGGGCCCCTTTAAAAACAACAACGTTTGGTGTGTGTCATGGGGACCAACACAAATGTGTGTTTTCTCTCCCCACTTTTATCCATTTATCACCCATGCAGATTACAAGAAGTACTATGAAAATTCTATTCAAAAAAGCCTAGAGTTTAAGGGCCCCCGTGTTTCTATCACAAAAAATTTATTTAACATAGAAACCTGGGGTACCTGTGGGGATCCCCCGCAGACAAAAAACAAAACAAGGAGCGTTTTCTGAAACCTGAGAGGGGTAGAAATGGGACCCCAGCTTAAACAACGGCTGGGCCCAAAGGGAAGGAAGCCTGGGTTTTAAACTTTCAAAACTTTTTTGGGACCCCTTTCCCAAAAAAAGATCTAGATAAACAAGTCTGCTCATCAATTTTGTTCCCTAAATATAAAGAGGCTATTTCTGGGGTGTAATTAAACCCACGAAATCCCATCCAAAAAAACCCCAATTTTCAGGGATATTAAACCAAAAAAAGAAATCTTTGCCGCTATCCCCCTTCAACAACCCCCGCCAGCAGATTGAGGTCCTTAAGGAATCTTTCCAAAACACTGAAAATTTTAGGGAAGACTGGCCTTTTCCAAACCGTGACAGCTGCTCATAATTTTGGGAAATCCCCCGGGATGCTTTTTATCAGTGGGCCCGCAATCACCAATTTAAAAAGGCCGCGGGTTTTTGGAGAATAAAACCCCTCCACTTTGGGCCCCTGCCTTTGACCAGGCAAGAGCTCTAAATTTTTAGCCCAAAGAATCTGAAATATACATACCACTCACCTTCCCCCCCCGAGGGGTAAGTTCCTTTTCAATTTTTGGGCCAAAACCTTTCCCAAAAAGTTTTCTGGGGGAAACCCGCCTCCCGTGACCGCAGCCCCAGGACGGTTGTTTTTTTTTGTGGTTTTTTTTAAAACAATTTCCCGTCCCAAAGGGGTTCCCCCGCTCGTGAAGCAATGTGCCATAAATGCCCCAAAAAGGTCACTTTTTCTAAAGTTAAAGTCGTGCTAATCATCAACAAAACAAATGCCTCCACACATTTCCCGTGATCATGCGACCTAGCAACAGTGACTTTTGCGGGTACTCCAAATTCCCCTGTCCCAAAAGGGAGTTGTGAAAGTAAATTTATCAAAGGAAAAGAAATAGAATTTGGGCCCTTTTTGTAGTGGCAGCCAGAGATTTTCATCAAAAATTTTTTTAGTTTTTTAAAGGGTCTCCTTGACCCCCCAATCACTCTTTAGGGACCTTTTTTCCCTGGGGAACAACATCTCCTCTATTCTACCTTAGGGTTTTGTAAAGGGAAATCCCCAATTTTTTGGGAAAAGGAAATTTTCCCAAAATGTACATTTTGGGTATTCTGCCACAACTGTGGCCCAAAGTTAAACCTTTGGGCAGGACTTTCAAAGCTGCCAAAGGTTTTTGTCACCTTAAAATATGGAAAGGGGAACGGCCCCCCTCTTGTTTTCCCGTGGGCTTTGCACTTTTAAGGGGAGACCCACCCAAAACTGTTTTCAAATCTTCCGCGGATTGCCATCCTATTTTCACTAAGTCCCGCCGCATCTTTTGGGACGGATGTTCATTTAGAAAGAAACCCGGGCTCGAAAGGGGGGTATTATAGAACCGAGTGATTCCCCCTTTGGGGTGCCAGGTTTTTTGTTGTTAAAGATGGGTTTTAGGGAAAAACCCGGGGACTTTGGGTATCGATTACTCTAGTAAATTTAACAAAATTTTTCACTTCTTTATGGTACCCTCTACCCCGAATTGACGATACAGTGAACAAAATTGCTCAGTACTTTGTGTTAACCCCAATTTTATCGGGAAGTGCCTATCATCAGTCCCCATAAAAGAATGAAGAAAAAAAACCCCAAAAAACACACGTTTTTTAGGCTAGTGATGGCCCCGTATCAGTTTACCCAAAAGTCCCTTTTGGGGTCACCAATGGGGTACCTGCACCCAAAGAATTAGGATTCCTCATTCAAAAGGGAAAAGCAACCATGGGAAAACCCACGCTATTTAGATAAAGTTTACCATTTGTTGGGAAGACCCAGGGGGAACAAATGCAAACCTTGATAAGTTTTTGGGAAACCGCCCAAAAAGAAAAAAATCAGTTACAATGAAAAAAAAGGCACTTTTTTAACTAAAAAAAGGGTTTGCATCCTTGGTTAATTTGTGGGAAAGGGGGTTCAATATTCCCAACCCTGAACGCTACGACCTCTTTCGGAACTTCCAATGCCTCCCAAAACAAAAAATCCCACCTCCGAAAACTCTTGGGCTCTTTTCTTTTTTTTAAATCACAAGGGGTCTACAACATTCCAAAAAGCCCCCCCCATTGAGGGTACCCACATTTTTTTTTACAAAGGGAAACGAAGGGCCCCTTTCCATACTCTCAAACAGGGCTTGAAAACTTCCGAGTTTTCAAGCCTTGATGAGTCCCCAAACCCTTTTTGAAGTGGAAACGGATGCACTGACATTTCCAATTTCCCGCAGTCCCTTTTCTCAGGGAGGGCGCCATAGCCTTCTTTTCGAGAACCCTTTCCCAAGGGTCAGAGAAATTTTTTTGGCTGCTGTAGGGAAAAAGGGAAACCCAGGCCCCTCAAAAGCATTTCCCCCACCCGAGGGAATTTTTTAACTTTTAGAAAAATTTTTACCATAAGGACTGACCAAAAGGTTTCCCTGATGTAAAATGTTCGACAAAAAGGGACAAAAGTATGATAAAGAATGACAAGATATTACGCTGGAAGGGGGAACTATCGTGTTTTTACTTTTATATTCTGTACCGACCGGGGCAAGAGAACACTCAAAACCCGAGCATTCTCCAGGGCCCACTGTGGGGCAGCCCTGTCATGATTTTTCAAACACTCTCCCGCTCTCCCAAAGGGTTTTTTGTCACCCAGGGGTTTTTCAAAAGCCCCGTACCCTTTTTTTCAAAACAAAAACTTTCCCTAAACCCGTGGGAAATGTGCGGGCAATTTATCAGAGCATGCAAAAAGTATGTGCAATTGCAAGCCAAACTTTCAAACAGCCCGAGAAGACTCTCTATAAAATCCACCCCGCCTTTCGAAAGAAAATTGGGAAAATTGATTTCAAAAGGCCTCTACCAAACACAAAAAAAATAGGTTTTCCTAACCCTTGTAATGAAATTCAAGGTTCCCTTTTTATTCCCCTGTGCAAAATTGGGGCTTCAACTTATTTTTGTCTTTTTTCACAGTTGTTTTTCCCATTTTTGGTATGCCCCCTTTTAACCCCTTCAGCCGGGGGGTCCTGTTCATATTTTTGAACCCTTCAAAAGGGTTTTTTTGGGTAGCAAAGGTATTTGCCCCGCCAAACAGAAAAACAAGCTACAAAACCCTCAAGGGAAGGTCAAGGGAGCGGTTTTAATGGTACTATATGGAAAGGCAGTTACAATACTTTAAAGCCCCGCAATCTAACCCGTTCAACACTGCAAAAATGTCCCCACCTTATGCCTTTACCTATTTGATCACTCTGTGCACACTACTAATGCAACCCCTCATGAAAGGAACCCCCCTAACTATCACGGGCGTTCCCTACGGACCTTTTGGGCCCCCCCTTGGGTTTTGTCATCCTGGACCCGTTCCCTTAAAATTTACCGTAGGGTAAAAGCATCCTTTAGTGGAAAAAGGTATAGCCCTGCAACTAAACCACATTACGCCCCCAAATTTCCAACCAAAAAAAGGTGAAAAACTAAAGTAAACACAAAACATTTAGCCCCAGTTTTTAAATCCCTATTAGTGGGGTTTTCAAAATAAAAACCAATAGATGTGAAAATGCTTCGTTTTCCCCCCTGGAAAGGGCCCCTTTAGACTACCCCTATAAATAGAGGGTTCCCGCTCCAGCTTTAATCAAACCCCCTGGGAAAATTTTCGAACCGGTGAAGAGGGTCAAGGGGTACGAAGGTCGGGGGCTGTACGTCGCCCACCTTAAAAAGTTTTGGGGGATTACTGCTCTGTATTTAAAAAGGGGGAGATTGTAGTGATACGGGGCCTTGGGGGGCAGCAGCAGATAATACTGCCCCCACCCTAGGGCCCTTAACAACAACCCAAAAGTTTGGTGTGTGTTTATGGGACCAAAACAAGGGGTTGATTCTCTCCCACCTTTTTCCCCTTTTTTCAGCGATGCAGATTTCATTAAGTAAAATGAAAATTCATGTTCAAAAAAAGCCTAAAAGAAAGGGCCCGTGTTTCTATCACAACATGGCTATACCCCCAAATGGTTTTTTTGTTGTTTTCCAAAGCTTTCCCGGGTTTTCTTTTTTTCCCTTTAATTTTTTTAACAATTTCTTTGCCTTTGTTCCCCTTTTTTTAAAACCTCGTACCTGGTTTCCCCACCCTTTGGGAAATTTATTTAGGTTTCTTTCAATATCCTTTTGTTTAAATCTTTTTTGCACTGGTTTTCTGAAAATTTTATATTTTCAAAAAATCTCATTTTTTCATCCAGGGTTCATTCTTCTTTAAAAACCTAATCCTCTTTAAATGGTGCAATATTGTCAAGGAAAGGAAATGAACATTGTTTTGAATTTTTTTCCCCGGGATCGGTTTACGTCCGTGCAACTTGTTATTCTGTCCAGCACAATTTTGAACCTATTTAAACCCTGTTTCTTTACTGATTTCTAGGTTTACCCTTTTTTTTTTGTCCTGTGTAGGCCTATCCCTATCCCTAGTGATTTTCCTGGTGCAGTAAATGATGAAATGATCACTAAGACCTGTGGTAAAGACGCCTGACTGACTAATGTTCTCAGCGCGGTTACAAAGAAAGTGGTCAATTAGGGTGGCTGAGAACGTGTGATCCGGGTTGGTGTATAATTAGTTGGGTGTAGCTATTTAATCCTAGATTGCTTATACCTTTTGCATAGCCCGTTATTTTGCTGCTGAAAACAGATTTTTGAAGTCGCCCAGTTTATTGTCTTGCAATTGTTTTCAACTCCGGACAAGACTCTGAAAGTCTTCTAAGAACTGGTCCTTGGTAGGAGGGGGGTAACTAGTTCCTACTAAGAAAGGGTTTGGTCTTGGGAAGCAGCACTTCGAACCATAGAATCTCCAGTTTATTTATTTAAAAACAGGTCTTGGGGTTTTAACTAAGTCATTTCTAATGTACACATACTCCACCACCCTTTCTGTTCCTATCTAAGCGTTTTATATTGTAAAACCCTTTTATTTTGACCTCGTCGTCCAGTCACCGTATCATCCAACCAAGATTAAGAGATGGTTATAACTGCCGCCCTAATTTTGTTAGCTAAATCCCAATCTCTGCCAATTTAGAAGAAGTGATCTTGCCATTGACATGAATAAAGTGAAGCCTGTTTTCAAAAAACAATCATAGTTATCAATATATGGCAATGGGTCATTTGTATTAAAATTAGGTAAATCAATGTCATCACTGCTAAAGGGTAACTGTGCCAAAGTGCATTTGTTACACACAAAATGAATTCTGGCACCGTTGCTATAATTGTACATACATCCATCATGCACCCACCCCTTACACATTTTACATAAGGTGCCTCTTCTGTTTTTCATGCGTACTTTAGTACAGTGTATGCACCTGTTTGGTAGTGTTTGAGATAATAATGGCTGTATTGTCTCACATTGACCTATGTATGCATTACATATGGAGTTAAGGTTTTCATAGTAATATCTTTATTTCTACAAGTACGTATACAAGGTATACAGGCTTAAGTGACATCAATGACATACTGATATATAGAAAGCCGCTTGTTATGCAGAGCATTTCGGGCAAATTAGGTCAGTTTTGTCCCAGGATGCGACCCACACCAGTCGACTAACACCCAGGTACCCATTTTACCGATGGGTGAACATAGACAACCGGTGTAAGGAAACGCGTTGAATGTTTCCACCTCTCTCTGTTAGTGTTAAGGCTTGCGGGCCACCTGATTAAACTTGGGAATGTCATGTTCCCGTTTCTCTCTACAGAGGAAACTTTGTTTCCTCTCTAATTCCCGCCCATATTTGGACAACAATATTTTCCCGGACTCCCGGGAGATAGGTCTCGATAAGGCGCACACTTGGGTGGCTCTTACCAACCCCAACAGCAGCATGGGCCTGGGCTCCTCGAGGGTTAATGATTTTTCAAGCACGGTGCACGCGTTATAAAGAAATATTCGGAGACAAAGGGCTCTAAACTCCCACAAACAAGATGAGCTTCATTATCCCTGATTGGGGAGGCGGTGACTCATTCTCTTATCACGAAGATTTGGAAGACCCATCGGTATGTAAAATAAACATAAAAATAATAAAAAAAGAAGGCTAACCACAAAGAAAAAAAGATAGTATACAGAGAGGAGAGAGAGGGGACAGACATAAAAAAAGACAGAAAAGATTTTGACGTATGTACAGCATGCTTGCATAAAATAGCATTCTAAAGAGCTAATATTGAATTAACCACAGTTTCAGATGACCATGAGGATCCCTGCAGTGCTTCCCTGCTTGTGTAAAGTTCATTGTCAGTTCTGTTTATAACTTGAAATGAACGAGTTGTATAATATCTTTTTTTTTTCCCTCATATTTCTTAACTGGTAGGTTTAAACAAAATAAAGGTTTGGGGTTTGTCCCCTCTGTAAAAATTGATGGTTAAAATAGTTTTTTTATTTTAAGAAATTTTAGCATACATACAGAGGTATTCAAAAAATTAAAGGTATGAGGCAGCATTGCCAAAGCCACTTATATTGCATAGCATCGGACTGGCTAAAATTAGCTTAAGATTAACTAAGCAATGATGAAATCAGTGAAAGACATTCATTGTAAACAGATATTATAAAGCACAAATGAGTATTACAAAGACAGGTCAATATGGTTTGACATGCTTTGCTGTTCATTCAGTAGAATGAGTGTTCTGTTAGTAGTGTATTTAAAAAAATAACAAAGTTAGATTGGGTCTAGGTTTAAACATTTATGTGATATAATTTTAAGGTTTAAGTTATTCAGTATTTTTTGGTTTTGTGTGTGTAAGTGAACTTTGAGAAGAGACTTGATTTATAAACAGGTAGTGTTTCTTTTTTATATACAGGTAATGAAATTCCAGATTTTTTGGGCTTTTATGTCATTGAGTTTTTGCATAGGCGTGAGATGGACAAGAGGAAATAAAAGAGTGAATCTGTGCCTTGTGTTATGGTCATGTGTTCTGTGAGTTTGCAAGGAGATGTTTGAGGGGAGGTTATTATCAGAGTTTAGTGTTCTTTGTATGTAATAGGTGCAATAATAGTATGGATGTTTGTATGGTGAGTAGGTTGGTGTTTTGAATATTGGTGGAGTGTGATGCCTGTTGTGAAGAATTTGTTATCATTCATAACTGCAGCCTTTTGTGGGTAATTAGTGGTCTGAGATGGTTTAATTGTTGTGGAGCCCTTGCACAAATTCCATAGGTGAGATTGGGGTAAATAAGAGAGTGTAATGGGCCAGGGAGGGCTGATTGGTGGAACATAGTACCGTATCTCGGATAGTATGCCAACAGTCTTGGAAATTTTCTTAGAAATTTGGATGTATATGTGTATGAAATTTGAGTCTATTATCGAGGTGGTATTTCTCTAAGAATTTTCCCTCTGTTAGCTTTGTGATAAGTGATCCATTTATCGTTATGTTAAGAGGGTTCATTCTGTAGCTCTGTTACCAAACTGATTGAGTAGGTTTTGTCAATGTTAGTGTAAGTTTGTTAGTCCTCATCCAGGTAGATATTTTCTGTAATTCGGTGTTTACAGTATTGGCTAGCGTGACTGGGCTCGTGTGAGAGAGACGTATGTAGTGTTACATCTGCAAAATGTTGTGGGTTGAGTTAATTGCGAAGCATTTGGTAGGTTCAATTTATGTATAGGAGAAAGAGAAGAGGGCAAGGACGTCCCTGTGCGGACACATCTGTATTGGTTGATGGGAAGAGGCTTGCCCCATTTGCATACACATTGGCTCTGTTGCCTGACGTAAGACTTGCTGGTAGTTGAGGGGAGTGCCCTCTAATACCATAGTCGTGACAATTTTACGTGGAGGCAAGTCAATGGTCAACGTATCAAAAGGCCTCACGTAAGTCAATGGAAGATCCCCAGTGGGACCTTCTTTTTGCTTATTGCAGTGTTATTGTTCTAGCATGTGTATACTAGCATCTTTAGTATTTTTTTTAGGGCCTGAATCCAAATTGGCAGGGGTTGGGAGAATGTTTGGAGATGAGGTAGGAGTAGATTTAGTTTATGAATTTAATTTTTCAAGATTTTTGAGAAGGGTGTAAATTGGATATTGGCCTAAGTTATTTCAAACTCTGTTTGGTCTCCTCCTTTATGGCTCGGGGTGACCCTTGCTATTTTGAGAACTGTAGGAAGGTGGAGGGATTCAATGGATTTGTTAAAGAGTGTTGCAATGATTGTGATAGTACTTGTGACGCTTTTTTTGTATATAAAGGGTGGTAAGTATTTTAAATCTCATGCCTTGTTTTTCAGTGCGTTGATAATAAGGGAGACTTCGTATCGGGTTAGTTGGGAGCTAGGAACAGTGTGTTCGGGTAGTCTGCCAGTGAGGTGAGTCATTTGGTGGGTATCTGAGCTTGGGATTTTATATGGCAAGGGTTTTGACCTATAGTGGAGAAGAATCATTGAGTCTGTTTGCTGTTTTGTTGGTGGGGAGTTGGGGTTCATCTGGATTTTGCTATTTTTTGCTATGTCGTGATATCTTTTTTGTTCTCAGAATTTCTGATTAGTGTCTTCCTAGGTCTTTTGTATTATCACCTCGTAAGTTGGTTAATCTGTTCTCCAATAATACAATTTTTTTTCGACCTTCTTTCAGGCTGGTTAGGATGACGTGTTTCGTTTTGTTTGGTCTCGGTTATGTGACCATTCTGTTACTGTTTTTCATATCGGTGTTTTTTGTATTTATGGATTTGAGAATGCTGGGTGTTAGCAAGGGATGTTCAGTTCTCTTAGCTGTCATCTGTTTAGTTTTTTTTGGGCAGTGCTTGTTATTAAGGTATTGGGTCTTTTAGGGAAAATTATTAAAACATTCGTCAATATCTGTATAGATTTCAAGTCAGTGTGCAAGCAATGTTTGTTACTGCATGTTGTGAAGTTATTATTGGCTGCCTCAGTGTGTTGCTGAAGGTGACTTTAGTATGTGTCATTGGGGTATTTTACACCAAGAGTTTGTTATGAGGAAAGTAGGGTAGTGGTCTGTGGTATTATATCTGTATGTATGCCTGCTTTTAAAGGGATTATGGTGTTGGTCCAGATGTGTCAAGTAGGGGAAAACACTAGTCTCTGTAACTCTTGTGGTTTGTTACTGTTTTGTAGCACATGCAGTTACTGATTTGTGTTTGTGATTCAGTTACGTGTGGGTCCTGGTCTGGCAGGAGTTTTATATTGAAGTCTCCTGAAGAGTAGTTGTGAGTCTTTGTTCACCGCGTGCTCAGTTATCATACTTCCTAGGTTTTGACTAAATTGGCTAATGTTTGTATTGTGGAACTATGTACATGTTATCACGTGAGAGTTTTTGTAGGTATTTGGATTGAATTTAGCTATTATATATTCCTCATGTTCATCCTTGTGCAAGTATAAAATAAAAAAAACTAAAATAAAATAAAATAGTGATACATTTAGTTGGTCTGAGTAGTATATAGCTGTGCCACCCCCTGTTAGGTCTGGCCTACAGTTGTGTATGGCTGTGTAACCAGGATTGCATAGCATTTGTAGTATCGGCTTTAGCCAGGTTTCTGTTAGTGTTAATGATGGGACATATTGCTTGCAAGGAATTTAGTAATGCTAGGAGGTCATCTAATGCTTGCTTAAAGATTGTATTGTAGTTAAGATAGTTATGTTGTGAGTTGGCTCTGAGAAGTGCCTTTGATTGTTTGCTGTGTAGTAATTACAGTAACTGTTTGAATTCATTAAAGTCATTAAATAAGAGGTTGGTATCAGGATCATTGCTTGTAAATTCTAAGATTTGTGTGTATTCTATAGTTTGAATTAAGTAAAAAAATTAAGTAAATATTCTAAAGCTAAAAAATAAGCACTGAATTATTTAACAAATGTATAAAAATTATGGAGATAAGGTAGTTTTTTAAAGTAAAATATAGGAGACAATATAAAAGGACTAAAAGAATTTGTGGTGAACAAATAAAGTGATGATCAAAAATGGAGCTAGGGAATTGATAGTAGGTAGTACTTTAAAGGTAATTCTTTAAAGTTTGAATTATAATATAAAATTATAATATTAAAGGGACTAATATAGTTGTGGTGAACAAGTAAAGTGGTAATCCAAATAAATGAGCCTTTGGAGTATAATGGCAAAATAGTGAACTTATTAACTTCGTAGAACTGAGAATAGCACCATTGTTTATTTTAACAATTGTGAATACTATGAAGCTAGGTAGTTTATAAAAGCCTAAAATAAAGGAAACAAAAAAATTATAAGGGACTACAATTAAGTATGGTTAAACAAGTTAAATGGACAGAGAGTCACTATGAAAATATTATTGGTTTAGGAGTAAGATTGGATTTGTAATATTAAATAAGTTGAGCAAGTTTATTGACACAAAAAAAGTAATAAAAAAATGAGGTAGTTGGTACTAGCTAGCAAAAGATAGTTTTGGTACTTGCAAAAAAGTAATTGGAAATATCCACTAATTGCACCACATAAAAAGTGACTAAAAAACAAGTAGTGGTAAACAAAATTAAATTGGACAGGTAAGAACCATAATATTTATTTGGAGTAAGATTTGAACTTGTAACATAAAATTATGAGCAATTAATAGCAAGTAAGAATGAGTAAAAAAGTATTGGAGGTAGTTAGCATTAGCTTTTATGAAAAAATTATAAAAATAAAAATGACATTTAATGTACGTACACTCTATGCACACAAGTATTGTTATTAAAGGGCACTTATCTAATCTGTTACAGAAAATGACAGCTTTTTATGGAAGGTAGAGAAATTCGTGTTCGTTTGAGATGGTATATTGTTGTCTTGTTGATGTTTTTCTCTTACTAGTATTTTCCATTCTCGCATGAAAACACTGATGTATTTTGTTTCCAGTTAAGTTTCTCAGCTAGAACAGGAAGGTTTTGACGTTTTCTTGTTAGACACTCATTTTTATTGTAACACTCCATTTTTCATTGTAATTGCTGATTTTAATTAGTCCTTTCTTTTATCGTGATGAAGAAGTCTGATCATTATACTGTGTTTACTTCCTGGTTTTCCTAACAAAACGTGTTTCTTTGATTTCATTGTTTGCAGATGACT